TTTGTGCCGGACTGGCTGATTGATGCCCTGAGGCGAGGCATCGGGGTCCATCACGCAGGCATGAACCGCAAGTACCGTCAAGTGTGCGAGATGTTGTTCCGCAAGGGCTACTTGCGTGTGGTCATAGCCACGGGGACACTGGCCCTGGGTATCAACATGCCCTGCAAAACGGTTGTTTTCTCTGGAGACTCGATCTTTCTGACGGCCCTCAATTTTCGCCAGGCGGCGGGTCGAGCGGGACGGCGAGGGTTCGACGTGCTGGGCAATGTGGTCTTCCAAGGAATCCCATACTCAAAGGTCTGCCGGTTGCTCAGCTCGAGGCTGCCAGACCTCAACGGTCACTTTCCCATCACCACTACCCTGGTGTTACGTCTCTTCATCCTGCTGCACGAGTCAAAACATGCTGCGTATGCTGTCAAGGCGATCAATTCGATCCTATCATCCCCGCGCATCTACCTAGGAGGCCCGGAGTCGAAACATACCGTCCTGCATCATCTGCGGTTCTCTATCGAATACCTCCGTCGCAACCTGCTGTTGGACGTCTCTGGTGCTCCTCTTAACTTCACTGGTTGTGTGTCTCACCTGTATTACACGGGAAATGCAAGTTTTGCCTTCCACGCCTTGCTCAAAAGCGGGTATTTCAGCAGACTTTGTCGGCCAATCCATGGTCAGAAGGGACAAGACTTGCACACCTTGATGCTTGTCATGTCGCACCTTTTCGGTCGTCGGTACCTGAGACAGTCGGTTTCGGAGTCCCGCCGCAACGGAGCACGGTGGTCGTCTTCACTCGTCATCCTTCCACCTCTGCCAAAAGAGGCAGCGAGAATTCTGTTGGCCCACAACGACCAAACACTCGACGTTTATGCTGCGTACGTGTCAACCTACATTGACCAGCACGTGAAAGAACCTGACGACACCTTGCCACTCACTGGACTGAAATGCGGTGGAGACACGCCATTGGAGGATATCGGCGTGTCTGTCTCTTGCCTCCCGCCACCTCGCATCAACTCAGCATTCGTTGCTCTCTCGGGCCACCGAGACGAGTGGAAGAGTGTGTCCGATTTGTGTAAGATGGTCCGCAGTGGTGTCTGGCTGGAGGAAGCCGTGGTTCCCTATGTAGGGACGTACCCTGACGAGAGCGCTGCACTGTTGAATGCTTACCTTTACGACTTCTTCAAACATGGCAATGTGGTTGCCCTCGAGAAAGAAAATGGGATTCGCAGAGGAGAGATCTGGTTTGTTCTCAACGACTTTTCTCTCGTCCTCGCCACTATCGTGACCAGTCTAGAAAATTTCCTGAAGCTCTCCTCGTCAGCGGGCAACGAGATGGGCGACATCATGGGCTTTGGTGACGTGCGCGAGTCGGAGCTTGATGATAAAGCCGTGGAAGTCGGCCTGGACAACAAAGCCACTCTCAGCCAATGGGCGCCGTCAAGTCGAGAACCATCTAAGCAGGAATCTACCGCTACAAAGGCGGGATCTAGTCCTGGGAAGACAAAGCTGGTTGACAGTTGGGAAGACGAATTGAGCGACAACGACAACTCGGCCGAAACCAACGGAACCATCCCGGAGACCATGGGTGACGCGTTCAAAGCTGCCAAAGCGAGGAAAGAGGGTCATGCGACCGATACCAGGAATACGAAGAAACAGCCGAAGGCATCCAAGGCCGAGACGGAGGTGTTCGAGTTTGGCGAGGATGGAAACTTGATGCACGTTCTGATGGCGTTCACCAGCCTTCAACAGGAGTTTAACGAGAAGTTCAGGGCAATGTGGGCATAAGTGCGTTGGGTGGAAGGGTGGATGTCGCTGTCAAAGACACCCATATTGCAGGACGGCGAAGGTTGTGCCAGTTGTCCCCTGCAACTTGCTGGTATTTTGTGGACAGTTCGGTTCGAGTCTGTACGACGTGTTGATTTTGTTTTACCTGTACTAGCCTGGGCTCTGTAGAAGACATGAACAAGGAATCAAAAGGTGGAAGGACACAAATCTGTTAAAGGCTGTGATACAAAAGGGGGATTTTAGTCGTAAAAACTAACTAGTCGATTATTGAACTAGACTCCCGGTATACCTGCTTCTTCCACTTATTTGCGGCTCTGTCCTCGATAATTAGTAGACGCAGCCTCGACGCCCGCGCTCCGCGCAGGCTGGTTCGCAATGGCGGCTTCCCGAGACGTGAAAAACAAAGTGAATCCCTTCATTTCCTGTCCCTCCTCATGACGACATTTCCAACTCAGATGGTGCAATTCACATCTTCTGATGACGATGACAACGAGAGTGAGTCGAGGACCGCGACTGTCGGCTTGATGCGCGATGCGAGACAAAAAGGTCAAGTCCACTCCGTGCCTGTTCCTTCAACTGATTCTTCACTTTCCTCTCAATCTCCCACCATGGGCAATGCGGCTTCGCAGACCGTGGCGCCCGCGGCCACAAACCAGGATGGCCCACCAAACCTCGCGTCGCCGACCGACAATGTCGCTGCCGGCACCACCACTACAACAACCTCCTCCCTCCCCACTGGCTTTGGGAACAATAGACTGGCTACGGGTTTCCGTGCAGCGCCCCATCCAGCCGCGTCTGACGCATCGCAGCCCAGTACAAGCGACCGCGATGGTACTTTGAACGCCTCAATACCCTTGGGAGATTCCATGGACGATGCGATCGAGATCTCTGACGAGCAAGATGAGTCTGATGGCGGTATGGTCATTAACGTTGAGCCCACCCAATACCATCGATTCTCTGGTGATATGATGCTTGATGACCATGACGTGGGAGATGCAGAGATGGGCGAAGAGGAGGGAGGAGACGAAGACGAAGAAGAAGAGGGAGAAACACATTCACAAGCAGACAGGGATACTGAGTCTCAGGCGTCTACAAGAGAGACAACGCAACCCCCCTCTTCTACCGAACGCGATGCTCATGACCAGTTACAGGGCGATCTCGAGAGATTCTCTAGCACCGTCACACATCCCAAAGCTGTCGACGGTCGGGTACAAGCATGCCCAAACCTGGCCGATTTGAGCCCGGACGAGCTTGAACTTCAACTGAAATACGCTTTCTTCCACGTCAGTCGCGACAAGGTCGATCTCAACCAGCCTGCTGTCTGTCTGAGTTGTCTCCAAACCGGTCACGCCGAGAGAAACTGTCCCGAAGTCACATGCATTCATTGCTCTGCCGGCCACTCTAGCCGTCTCTGCCCTCTGTTTCAGCGGTGCACAAATTGTCGTGACCGCGGACACATTGCCGACTCTTGCCCTACAGACTTGAGAGTCACCACGATACCTTGTGACATCTGTGGAACTTCGAATCATACGGAGAAGTCATGTCCTCAACGATTCTTACCCTATGGATTGGCAGATAGTGGTCCTACAAGGCTCTGGGTCTCTTGCTGCGTTTGTGCAAGTAAGAACCATCTTGTTGGCGATTGTCCCCGAGCCAACAAGGCCATGGCGGCACGATGGTCGCTGAGATCATTCGCCCCAGGCCAGATTACCAATCTAAGTCTCGCTTCAGGTATGCAGCAGAGGGAAAAAGAAGTGGCCAACCGTGGTTTACGCCCCGAAGGGCTCAAGATTAGAGGTCGTGCTGCCCTTCACAGTGCAGGCTCCCGCAGTGGCACACGACAATTGGACAACTCCGATAGTGATGAAAGATTTCTGAATCCACGAGCGCAACGCCGTGGCAATGCGAAACGTGGCAATATCAAAATTGCAACGCAATCATCAAGAGAGGGTTCGTCACCCACCGCTATGCCCAAGAAATCGGTGCTTATGAACTTCCTCAGGGCGATAAACCAACCGAAGCCGACGTCTGGCAAACCTCAGTTTGAGCTGGTCTACGGAGACAATGGGTGAGACTTCAACATTTTCTTTCGGTGGATCCAATTCGATCATGCTGTCTCTGACTCATTCTCAAGCCTAGTATCATTCGTCGACCGCACAAACCGACAAAACTCGAGGGTACTCAGCGGCAACGTGAGGCAGCTTGAAGTAATCCAGAAGTGGTCAAGGTAATCGTCACCCAGCCCTGCAACAACAACCACATAGCTAACACAGGGATGCTGCCCACTAGGTCACGACGTCCAGACGAAGCATATCTTGTTTGAAAAGAGCAGGGTTTCGTCGGTAGAGGCACTATGAAAGGCATGCACCTTAAGAAGCTAGCTGGCTTAACAAATTCAACTTCAAGGCTTCGAGGGCCTCGATGGCCGAGCTGGACTCGCACGTCTCCTCCACAAACCAACCACAAGCTTACACAATGCACCCATCAAATAGCAGCGTGCAAGCAAGACTGTGGGAGGCTGATAACACCACGGATATACAGTGGACCATTGCGAACTAGAGAAACGCATAGTGCGCCACGCAGTATTTAAGCGCGCTGACCGCCAATAAAAGGTGCTGACGGCGACAAGGCTGGCCGTGTGTATGTATGTATGTTATTCAGATCCAAAAATCCTTGTCGGGACCACTTCTAGGATATTCCTGGCAGTCGCAGGGTGGTCATGCAGTCCAGCTGAGAGCAACTCGGGAGCTTTCAGGCTTGGATATACAGAGAACTAAGGGCTGTTTACGGTATGGCCGTTGGCCTTTTCCTGTGGTCAGAGCGCCTGAGGCATTCTAGGTCGATGTACTCCAATAAACCAACATTACCATCCAAAGCAAGAATGTGTGTGTATGTGTGATGATCTTCTCATTTGACGCCGGTCCAAGTTACATTAGTTACACGACCCTCTGTTCTCCCTGGGGGGTTTTCCGTCCGTCGCATCTTATGCCGCTCCCGCTGGCCACGGTTGCAGTGACCAAAAATGCAATCAAAGTGTGGTCTTTTTGTGGTTGGGGTTGTGGTTTGTGGTTTGTTGTTTGTTGTTGTTGCTCTTCTTACAAAGGTCGGTGTGTATTGATTGATGAACGTTGGAGAGACTCGCCAAAACCAAATGGGTGTTTTTGTTCCAGTCTCACAGCAGTGGCTGCAAATTCCACCACGCGGCCTCTTGACCGGCGTCGTTACCAGTCAATCTTCCTGTCCGTCATCATCAGCTGGCTGTTGTCCCAACTTCCTTCCTTCCGCACGCTCGGGCCCTTTGGCCGGGAGGCGTCGCGGGCGGCGGAAGGCTCCGGTGGTGAGGGTTGGGCCTGCTCACCACCATTGGCATACTCCAGCATAGTCACGTCTCCGCCATTGTCTAATCTTTGGGTGGGTGGCATGGCTGTCATCTGGCTTTGAGGCTGGTTGTCTCTTTGATACGAGAGTGGGGGAGGGTCGTCGGGAGGCGGATACGCAATCTCTCGCTTGACTGTCTCCGCTAGCTCGTCAATCCGATCTGCGTCCAGATAGATCAAAAGGTACGGATTCGGAGGCGGATTCAGGCCACTGCTGGTGGCTGGCTGTTGTTGACCTTGGACTTGGGTTTGTGCGTATGGATTTCCAAAAATCTCGTTCAGATTGGTCACGGTAGAGACACGATCGTCATTGTATTTCCGCCACACCTCTCTCTTGTGATCGAATATGTACACCCAGTAGTGGCCTCCACCAGCGGAACCGCGGTGGAAGAACGCTGCGTGCAGGCGGTAAGGGTGTTTGCGCATGTCAACGAAGGATTCTTTGATTTGTTGAGAGAGTTGGGATATGCGAGAGCGAATTTCTGTCATAAAGAAGAGAAGTCAGTCATTTGTGGCCCCAGCGAAGGAAGAGAAATTCTTACGTTCGAGCTCAGAACGAGCATTTGCGGCTAAAATACCGAGAGTAGTGATGGCGTTGGGATTCACATCGAGTTCGCCTGATACCTGATCTCCAGGTACTTCAGCCAGATACTCCAGGATAGCTTTTGCGTCTTCGAGAAGGCTAGGGACATCTGTAGATTTGCCCTGCGCACGATGTCAGCTTTTGGTGTCTATCCCAGAAGAGAGAAGTGTGTTGTCCTACATATTTTTCCTCAAGCTCATCTCTCCGGGCCACGAGTAATGCTAATTCTCTCTTAATTTCCCACGTCTGCTGTCGTCTTTGCATCAGATCAGAGCCAGGTGAACTTTCCAAGTATCTATCCATGTAGATGGTTTGCGGGATGTCGACATGATAATTCAATTTCTCCTGACGTTTCGTCTCGTTATTCCAAGACACCCGGTCCAAGGCAATGCTCAAAACCGGCGGCAGACTGGAGATGGCCGAATACGCCTTTGCGCCGTCTTGTGCGTCTTGGAGATCGAACTCATTGTCGATCGCAGCGTATACATCAGCAGGTCGGTGGAACACTCGCGTGATGATATTCAAAAAAGGTAAGACCATTGGTGCTTCTTTTTCCGGTTGGCTGTGGACGACCTGCTGCCCGAAGAACAAATCATGTACTTCGTCGCGTTGCTCTCCTGACTTGTCGAAACCGGTAGGTCGCATGGCATAAGACAACTGAATGATACAGTGATTCATGACCTCAGTGACATCTTGTTGACGCGCATACTCTTCCAAGGTGGTTGTGGTATTCTGCATGGGTTTCCGTGGAGGTACCGGCGGTGGCTTCCCAGGAGGTGGCGCATACTTCAACAATTCGGGATTTATGCTGGACACTTTCTCATCGGTATCTCTCGATATTACTGTCGTAAGAGGCTGCCCAGTCCAAGGAGATAGGGCTACCGTGTTTGGTGCAGGCTTAGGCGGTGACACGTTCTCCTTGTTGTCTGACATTGACACATGTTCGTTTCGTTCCACCAACGCGTTCCCGTCGCTGTCAGAAGCGGACACCAGGGTGACATCACTGGCACTGTCATTCGTTGCGGGGTCATCAACGTTGTGCTGGCCAGGACTTGTGTCCTCTGTCGCATCCAACTTCGAAGCGTCAACATCCTGTAGTAGGTCGATGTTGGTGGCATTAGTGTCGCGTTTGGGTTGTATAATTACCGTATCCGCGATCCCATTCGCTTCAGATTCAATCACAGGAGAAGACACCGAAACGGGCAGCGTACCGATCGAGCCTAAGCTGGGGCGCTCGTTCGACTTGAGGGTGGACCTTCGTCGCATCTTTTCTTTGACACTTTCGGTCTCCAGAGTCAATCGCGCAAGCTCCTGCTCCGGCTTGATGGATGAACGGGGTGTTTGTATCATGCCACGGAATAGAGACGCTAGGCTGGCGACAAATTTCTGTGCAGTTTGGACCTCCTTGACGCTCACTTTTCGCTGGCCAACGCGCTTTTGCTCCATGCTCTTCTCATCCAAGGGCATCTTGTAATCATCAAAGTTGAGAACCAACTGTCGCACCTCGTTCATCGTAAACAGGAACTGCAACAAGCTGTTCAAATAGCAGGTGTTCCCAATATTTTCCAGTCCAACAGGTTCTTCTGGCTTGCCCTGCGGTTCTTGTGGAGCCCTGCTGTGTAGATGGTCCAACAAGATTGAGCTGTTCCGACCTTTGGCGATCGCGGCAAGCGCTCTGTTGTAGTATTCCACACTGCCAGGATTTTCTTCGACGGCTATATTATATTGATACAGGATCATCTCATCATCGATCTCGCGATTGTCGATTTGGAGGGCTTGGTAACCTTCGGCAGGCTCCATTTGGTTGTGAGTGTCGTTTGAAAATCCTGAATCGATCCACTTGGACAGAAACCGGCTTTTGCGGTGCTGGGCAATTACGCGAACGGCTTGGATGGCTTGCTCTTCTAAAGCCTTGTTGTCATTTGTCTGAAAGTAAGATGAGCGCAGATCAACGGACAAACATGTAGGTGACAAACCTTGACGGCAAACAGAGCTTGTATGTGCTCGTCTTCGATGGTGGGATCGGCATCTAGGAAGGCGAGCGCAGACTCGTAGCTGTCAATAACTGTGGTAACATAGTCAGTAGGTGTATCTCAACAGAGAGAAACGGGCGCAACTCACTATTCATTGCAGTGTCCATGATGCGTTTACTGTCACGATGAACTCCGATGATGCGGAGATAATCTCTGAGTTGGTGTTCGTGGCTTGGTGAATCTGCCAGTTGAGCTGTGAATGAGCCGATAATGTGTTCATCACTGACCGAACCCCCAGATCCGCTGAGATGGAAGGCTTTGTATGCTTCTTCCAACATCTCCGCATCATACTGGCCCCGTGATGTCTCTAATACAACTTCGGTTTGTAAAAGCTCACTCTGGCGCTGATTTCCAATGTACTTGAGGTTACTGAGGTAGACGTGTGAATTTTGGCGATCTGCTTGCACTTGCCAGTGGTAGGCTTTGGCGACGAGTTGGTCCGACAAATCCATAGGGCAACCGAGCGCAGTGAAAGGACTACCTCCACGTTAGCCTGCCTCGCGACGTAAAGGAAAGGGGATGCCTGTACGGAGTTCTCATCTCAGGAGAGATCCTAGTAGTTCTGCTGCCAGGATGTGTGTCATCTGTCATGTGTTAGCGCAACTCACGCAAATGCAGGTAGGCGACGCACAGTCCTGACACCCTAGGGCCCGTGAAAGCTCCCTTTCAGCAGGAAGAGGAGGGGTGACATCTTGCAATTGCTGCCGCTCTTCGTAGGGACGCGATAGAAGGAGAGCAGTCAACTCGTGCTCGGCATTGTCTAGCCAGATATTGACGGGACTCTGGTACGGTAGATTTTCTTCGAAATTGGGTTCTGGCACCATCCAGCAATCCCCAGGCTGGCAAACACGGAGTCAGTATACGTGGATCAGAATCTGCAGCTTCTCCACCTACCACAAGCTGGAAGCCGAGATGCTCCAGGACCTCCTTGCAAGCATTTCCCTCTGGTCCAAATCGGACAATGAATCTCCGGTTTGAGAGATTGATTGACCTGTACTTTGCATCGTCTCTTGCACGCCAGGAGTTTCTCAGATATGCTCGAAGATCCAACAGGACATCCATTGGCCCTGGGTGTCGCATCCCCTCCGTATTGCCTTCCCGCTCGCGGAAAGCATCTTCTGTCCTCTGGCGAAGCAGCGCGGGATCGATCAGTGTGTGGATGTCGCTAGGGCGCAGGACCGGGGGGCTATATCGTACGGTAACGATGGCGGAACAGGTAGGAGAAGAGCATTTGTAGGTGTATATCTCATCTTGAGAGTTCGGGTTCTTGCGCAGCCACGCATTCCTCTCCAACGGCTCTTGAAAGTCTGACCTCACCAGGTGATGCAGAGGATGCTCGACAGTTGGGCAGGGGCCGTCATCAAATCTGATGGTGTAATCAACCTTGACGTGAAGATGGACGCGGCAAACCTGACAGAATGCTGCGACAGTCCATATTGTCTGCGGACCGGGTTTCTCATCCAATGCGGGGGGATCAGATTGTCTCGGCTTCAAACCAAATTTATGCCTGCAGCTCTCGAGAGGCAGGAAGTCTGCCAGATAGGGTGCTTGACTGAACTTGAGAGGCGAATCAGCCAGCAGGTTCGGAAGGTCTTCGGAGTCTCGCCATGGTTCGTAGAGTGTTAAATCCTCGAGCAATGCCGGGGCGGTTCGACCTGTGGTATCTCGTCACTATACATGACCTCCTCGCTTTTATCTCTTGTCTACGCACCAGATCCTTTGATCGGCGCAATGAAAGACCGAATGTTGCTCTGCACCCCGGCCATGCAAATCGGTTCGAAGGCAATCGACCAGCTCTTCAAGCCAGCAATGAGTGCAGGCGTGCAATTGTCCCGTGGCTGGATCTAGACAAAGCAGGATACGTATGATCTAGTCTCATGCGAGCGAAGGAGATTGGGACCGGGTAACTACTGCGGCTGAACGGTCGAACTTGGGATTCGAGAAATGAAGCAGAGAACTGAACAGAACAACTCCCCAAGACCGTCCCCAACGCAGTGTCCTGTCGAGCAGTGACAGAAGCGGTGCTAGACAGTCTAAATCATAAGGGCGGTCAATATGCTAGGTGTCAGAAGAGTTCAGAACGTTCTGCCATAACTGGGAGAGGAGTATGAATTCGTAGCAGCCTGCGAACGGCGAAAATGCATATGCGACTCGAGAGCCCGTAGATTCCCAGATCTGGGCAACGCGTAAGGGCGGCGTCGCTTCCACTGCCAAGGTTTTAGAGTTTAATATGCTCGGCAGACTTGCCACTAACGACCAGAAGAGCGGCCTACCTCGTCTTGCTGATACCTTCTATGTACTCGGTACTCGGTACTATAGCTTTCTATATACAAAGTGCGCCGTCTTCTGAATGGTGTCGTATAGTCGCAGTTGCACTAGAAACATCCCACCAAGATGGACGACCAGATTTAGAGAAGTACATGAGAACATAGTTACCGCATGTCCGCGCAAAGTGCTAGAAAGCCAGAGAAATGGTTTTGGTGATCATGATAAAGTGTGTGACCTACGGCACCAGAACTAGACCGATTGTGTAGGTAATGAAGTCATTCTGATGACTTAGCTTGTGATGAGGCATAGGAGCCCATATCCTGGCCAGCGATGTGTCTAAATAATAGGGGAGTAAGGTGGAAGGTTAACCTGGGTAAAGCGGCTTCGAGCATTTCCTACTTCTGGAAAACCACAGACGCCAAGACTGCGCTTCTCCGACCTCTGGCGAGAGCTTTACCATGGACGAGATGCCATAATTCTCACGTCTACAAGGAGTCAACTTCTCGGTCTACTGCAAATTCTTAACCTTTACTCCGCATCCCCCGAGTCGATAGCACCTTGCCTAAGCTACGGATGACTTGAACCTGGTTGCTCTCAATTCTAGCAACCAGGACCGCAGCCATGGGGGACTTGGTGGACCCCAAGCCTAATTACGATGTCGACGAGCCTGTTTACCAACCTCGGGATGCGTTGGGTCTCTCGGCGCGCTCAGCTGCATTAACTGGCGCTGCTGGGCTCTTCATCGCCTCCGTCCAGAACACTGTCGCGAAGGAACAGATTGGTGCTTTCGGAGTGTTTACACGTTTTGGCAGGACCATTGGCCTACTCAGTATGATTGGAATCTTTGCATGGCAATTGAAGCAAAACAGAATCTGATGGTTTCTAGCTGCTATGGGAGGAACATTCCAGTTCGCAAGCACGGCTTCTGCAAACCTACGAGAGAAGAATGATTACATCAACCACGTAATTGGCGGTACCATTGCTGGCTCTTTGAACGGCCTCTGGAGTACGGAATGCGCAACAAGATGTATTGGGCTGTGGCTGACTGACGAGCAGGGCGCTCAATGACTTCGACGCTTGGCAGTGCTTTGGCCCTCGGTACCGCGATGGGAGTGATCAGCTACACTGGCCGCTCCATATTCGAATCGTCTTCAGACAAGGCCTTTGATGACCGAATGACATATAAAGAGGAGGCCAGAGCTCGATTTAGAAGACCTCTCAACGAGACAATCAACGAGTTGGGAGAAGGACGAGGTAAGGACGCTCAACATGATAACCTTTGCAAGCGACTGATGCACGTGGTGTCAGGTATCTATGGGCCCGGATACGAGGAAAGGCGGAAGCAGAGAATTAAGGAAAGATACGGAATCGATGTTCCGCCACCTTACTACGAAAGCAAGGCCGCACCTGGGGCATGATACGCCGCCTTTTCATCCTCCACACCGTTATTGGGTTCGGATATGAGGTTCGCGCTGTTGCATTGTGGTAGCGAACGAGGCTACAGATTGACCCTTCCAGCCGTGCAAGAGAAGGGATGCAAGCAGACATGTTCCACCATCTGCAGAGTTGTTTTTAAAAGGATAAACCAATGGAGCCGAAAACATTTGTACATAGCCCGGTATATCAAGCAGTTCCGAGAGGTTCACCTGTATTCATTTTCAAACACGAAAGAAGAGGTTGCCAAAAATATCTTCTGGCTGGAATCATGTGAAAGATCACAGCTTATTCATCATCATGGCTCACTCCAAACACGCCCATCGCCAGCACTCCTTTGATGAGAGCAGCAAGTGAAAACGTGGTTGCATGATGACAAAACTGATTAGGTGCCAGGTGATGAGCTCACAAACGACAGATGTCAGTAAGCGAGTCTAACCTAACAGGAACAAAATTTGACCACATGAAGGGACTGGAAACTTGCAAGAAAACGTTGGCTTCATCTGGAAATTTATTTGAAGTGCTCTTCTTAGTCGACTTCAATTCAGACAAAGTGGCTTGAGCAAGCTGCCACTATATTCGTATGAGGTGACCCATCGGGACCGGGCACACCGGGTTGGCTCAAAAGCAACCATTGCCTTGATCCGAGGAATCACTTATCCGCGCTGATCCCTAGCAATCACGCCACAACGTGTAGAATGGACGTAGTTGTTGAGTTCCCTCGTGGCGCATGAAGAGGCGCTTGTTCAGCTCAGTTGTACTTCTCGAACTGGGCTAGCCAAAGAAGAGCTTCTTAAGAGCTGACCAAGTGCGCCGTACAGTGCTGCAACGGACCAGCGCAATGGCCGATCAGTGGAGGAGTCCATTGTTCTGGGCAAAACGCAAAGATGAACGATTGATGACTGATGTGCCGATTTCCTGAGCTTTTGCCTATTGGGAAGGTGGCTGGACAATCAAGCCATCTTGACATGATCGTCAGGTAACGCCACTGGCCCAGCCACCGCAATATGCACAGCGAACAATTGCCCAGGTATACCGAGTACCCTCCCAGTTGGCCCGGCACCCGGTCACTATCTCTTGGACCATGTTTTTTTCTTCCGTGCGAGTCTTCCCGTGGCGTCCTGCATGCCTTGATAGCACAGTGCTCATTGCTTAGATAGCTCTCTTCCGGTTCGGGTTAAGATGAATGCCCAGGATCGGGAGGCAGCCGCGCCTAGGAGACGCAAGCTGTTCGTAGGTATCCAGTATTTGGCGGGGTGAGTGGTTCCTTCAAATAGTTCATGTGGCTAGCGACGCAATCGCGGAGCAGCTAACTACCACGAGAGCTTGTCGACATGGTTGATCCTGCGAGACCACCCTCGGCAATGCTCAACCGGCGATTGAGTAAGGCATCTTGGGCACATGGTATCGTATTCTCGGAAACATCTCTTCTAAACAAATTCTTAAAGATACAAGTAGAATGCAGGACAAGACAAAGGACACAAAGTGCATGGTGGGTAATTAATTACATCACCATTGTCTGATGTAGGTGTTCGCTGGGTTGGGCAGTCAGGACCCGGGAGGACCCCTCGTCACTCCACTGCTTGCTGGATGCTCAGCACTCAATGTCGAGCAGCAGTTCGAGCCTGCAACATTGCGCGCCAACCGCCGAGGAGGAGGCCCCCGATTACTTCTAGTCACCCAGGCTCCCTTGGCCAGCTTCCAACTAACCAACCGCCCCCTTCCCATCATCCTCGGGCGGACCTTGGGCCCCTCTCCCTCCAGGCTCTCCACTGAGCACCTGCACCTTTTGCGATTCGACCACTTGTTCCCGCCGTGCCGGTGGCACTGAACAACTCAAGGGCCCTAAATCCAAGCCTCCACCTCCCAAATGAACCCACCCAAAGCTTCCCAAGCGGGCACTGACTTCACCGTTTTTATTGCCTTTCGACCTTTGTCCACCTCAACGTCGACGCTCCCGCCCACCCTCGACTGCCCTCATCATCGCCAACTCTCTTGACTCTTGTTCTTCCTAGAACCGACGTCATCCATATTGGCACGGCTCATCGCATCTCATTTCCCCAGTCTCGACTCCTCTCGTCTCAGCTCCCTTCCAGCTTGCTTTGCATTCCGTCCATACCTTTTGCACTCTTACACGAAATAGGTGTCGTGCATACTTGAAACGCTTCTGTCTGCTCCAAGATGCCGCTCACGACATAGCTCCCAAACAAGAGTCGCCGGTGTACCCAAACTTCAATGACCCGCAGATAGCTCTACAACTGAGCTTTCACGTTCCTATTTGGACCTTGTCATCATGTCCTCGAGACCTATCACTCCTGTTTCGCCCGTCCAAAGCGCTCATCCCGATGCCTCAATACATTCCGCGCGAGCTCCGAGCGCCAGGCTATCTTCTCGACCTGTATCCTATGCCGGCACCCAACATACAGAGACCTTGTCGCATCCAAACCACTCTCATGCTGCTCTTTTGCAGGATCCATCCTCCGTAGCGCAAGCTGCCGATCTACATGATGAAGTCGTCCACCAAAACCAGGAGTCTCCAGACCTTCCTCGGAGCAACTCGCATATGTCAGGGTCGCAGACTCTACTACCATCGAGAGGTGGGACACTGAAGAAGAAGGCTTCTCTTCACAAGAGCGCAAGTCTGAAAAGGACTGCTAGCAAGAGAAGCAGCTACGCCGGTTCAGTGCGCAGCATGCCACTGGCCGAAAAGGAGAAGTATGGCGAAACCGAAGAGAGCAACAGTGTCTTCTACTGTCCAGTTCCGACCACAGGAAACCCCACAGAGCTTCTCGCAGCGCGATTCCAAGGTATGTCTTCTCTTTTTGGCTAGACAGATTGTCCCCTGCTAACATCTGGATCAGCATGGCGCAAAGTACTCAAGGATTTGATCAATTACTTCCGGGAACTGCACAAGACATATGAAACTCGAGCAAAGGCCCTTATGTCGACCTCCAACGTTATCAACAACACCACAATCCCTTCCAACTTCTTGACATCTGGTGGTCTGGGTGACGCCGCCTACATCCTTCGAGACTTTCACAAACAAGGACTTAACGAAGCCAACAAGGCTCGAGACCTTGAGAATGAGGTCATTATTCAACTCACGGGTCTGCGCAGTGACCTCCAACAGAAGATTAAAGAGATCAAAAGCTTGTCTGGTGATTTTAAGAATTCAGTAGACAAGGAAAAGGAGGCCACCAAAAGGGCGATCCAATCTTTGCAAGAATCTCTTGGTATGGTTGATCATGAGGTAGCATCGTCTGGAGGCAAGGGCGATCCATTCTTGGTCAAGATGGCCGTCGACAAGCAGATTGAGAAACAAATCGATGAAGAGAACTATTTGCATCGGGTAGGATGTCCTGCCGAGTCGCGTCGCAGTGCTTGAGCTGACATGAACAGGCCTATCTCAACCTCGAAGCGTCTGGTCGAGAGTTGGAGTCCATCGTGGTTGGCGAAATCCAGAAAGCGTATAATGTGCTTGCCGGCATCCTGCGCCGCGAAGCCGACGACGCCTATGACACAGCTGAGAAGCTCAAGGATGGACCTTTGTCGATGACCAAGGACCATGAGTGGGACGAATTCACCAGGAATAACAATCAAATGGTGGATCCGAGAATCCCCATTCGACAAGTCTCTCATATTATCTATCCCGGAAAAGATCATCCGGCCGCCATTGAAGTAAGGAGCGGGATGCTTGAGCGGAAGAGTAAATACCTGAAGAACTACACTCCTGGATGGTGAGTAAAATCTAGCAGCCATTTCGCGGCTCCAAATACTGATTGCATCTATCAGGTACGTGCTGTCTCCGACACATCTACACGAGTTCAAATCGGCAGACCGAATTGCATTCCAGTCGCCTGTCATGTCATTATATCTGCCCGAACAGAAACTGGGCGCTCATTCTGAGCCTGGCTCTTCGTCGCATAAATTCATGCTCAAGGGTCGACAGACCGGCTCGATGCATCGCGGGCACGCCTGGGTCTTCCGAGCCGAGTCACACGAGACCATGTTAGCGTGGTTCAATGACATCAAGGAGCTTACTGAAAAGCGAGGTGAAGAACGCAACGAGTTTGTCCGCAGGCAGCACGCTCGATCGCTTTCCGGAAACAGTGTCAAACCTGCCAGCATTATGAGCTCGGAGGGCGAGATGGAGGATGATGAGGCTGATCGAATTGCATTTTCCGGTGAACAGTCCGTGCGAGGAACGTCTGCCGATGGAGCTGCCATCGCCGCTGCCACTGCCGCTGGCGCCGGCGGTCTCGGTGCGGCTGCGTTGAACGACATCGAGGACAACAGATCCGAAGCCGGATGGCGTCCTCCACAACGACCAGCACCAGGTGGGCGATTTCCATCTGATCTCAACATACAGCGCGGCTTGCAAGCTCCGCTGTCCCCTTCTAGTGGAGAGAGTTCTGACCCAGACCGTGATGTCATAGCAGCAGCAGGTGCTCTACCAGGCAGCGGAGTACCTTTCGCCCATACCACGGAAAAGCATACGGATCTCCAGCCAGACGCTGATCCACCTGCTGGTCTGACTTCGCAGATGAATACAACGAACCAATATGCGCCGGGCCACCATCCGAATATATTCCCCAATCGTCAACCACACCCTTCCCATGATGGCGCGAGTCAATATGGTGAATGGATGGCGCCAATTGCTGCAGGCGCAGGAGGGGCGGCATTAGCTGCTGGGGCTATGCACCATCACAACGAGCATCAGCTCGAGAAACAGGCTGAGACGGATGCCCAACGGCTGGATGGTGAATCAGCGATCCCGCGATATGGAGAATCCTCAGCCCCCATACCCGTGGCAACCGCGGCACCAGTCGACGCACCGTCTGGACCGCTGGCAATGAGTGAAACAACCACAGCGCCCAGCTCGGCTGTCGCAAATACCGTATCATCAGGAACTGAGACGGGCACATTGTCCACGGTGCCAACAAGCACGGGTCACGGTGTGGCGACTCCCACCATGTTCGACGCTAATGGTATCTACGCGGGCCCCAGAACCTCCAAGACTGCGCCAACGGATTACGTCGTCAAGCCGGCGCAGGCCTACAATGGTACCCGAGAATTCCACGTTCCAGGAGAGTTCCCAGCGACGCCTGCACTCAACGAAGATTCCAAGATATACCATGACGTGGTCCAACATTAGCATTGATATCGGGAGGTGGCACGTGGAACAAGGCCACTTGTCGACGCGAGATGATTTCAGGGACGGCTCTTTATGTCAGTAATTAGGACAACTGCATCTCACGATCTGCGCATACATATTCCGCAGTAAATAGGCGAGATTTGATGTGCAAGTTCCTACATGTTTGCAGTTTTTTTGAGATACCACAATCGTTATGGCAATCTGGTTTGTTGCTGTTTATACGGTATTGGAGGAAGTGCAACCAGGAAGCATCACAATATTGGTTTTCATTCCGTGTGGCTAGCAACATTGAAGACACGAGGAGGAAAACAGTCGTCTGGGAAAGGCATTTACAACGCAGTATCCTCTCTACAGGGCGTTAGCGGGTTACTCTGCACCTACCAATGAAAAAAAGTCTTGAAGCCCAGCTCAATCTCCTATTGCGACCCCTAGACTGATACATTTTGAACGTACACAGACGCGTTTTCTAAAGGAACTGAGCTAAACATGGTCGCCGGGGGCTGGTGCCACATTCTCCTTTACGACCCGTGCCTTAACAAGGCACGTCGTCAATACCGAGGCGCACCTAGAACAGCGCATTCGCCGAGGATGATTCGACTAACTATTTCGTGGGAATGCGTTTGATCCGACGGATATGTTCGAATACACCGAGGGATAACTTGGACTCGCACGGCCATCCATCTGCAGGAAGTGCCCTGGAGGGTCGCCTCGAAAGGGGCCCATCCCCGCATGTGAGGTACAGATACGAGTCCAATCCCCGATTGGTGGAGCAGTACGAAGTAATAGCGTCGACAATTCTCCACGATTGCTCCGCGCTGGATCGGGGTAGGGACGGGTCCGTACTCGGTACGTGAGCCTGCGGGACGCCTCGAGGTTTTCCATGCGGTGGCTTTGCCACTACAGTAGTTGTATTTTGATCATCACGGATTGTCAGCATCGATAAGGACGGGGGACAGACAAAGAATCCCATTCGCCGGCTTCTCTACAACAACAGCAGCGGCTTCGCGAGCTCTCTTCCTCACTGCCTTGCCGACCGCCGATTGGTCACTTGGTCTTGGTAACTTCACCCAATACTGGCTTCCAAGGTCGATATGAAGCCCTTCACTCTGTCGTTGACAAATGGCGCTCAGCTTTCAGGTATACTCGCGGTGCCGACGCGTGCGTCAAAAACTGCCGACTATCAACCCTTGGTAGTCGCGATACACGGCGGGACGTATTTTTCAAAGTACTTTGACGCTGGTACAGCCACGTCCGCCACAAGGCTGGCAGAATCACTCGGGGTGCCTTTCGTAGCCATTGACCGTCCAGGGTACAAAGAGAGCACAGGACTTCCCCCAGTGCCTGATGGATCAACATTCCTCCAGGAAGAAGGCAAATACCTTCACCATCATGTCCTTCCCAAGGTATGGCAAGAATTCGGGCTTAGCTCTGGAGCAACCGCCGTTGTCATCCTGGCGCACTCTTTGGGATCCCCAGGCTCTATCGTGGCCTCTGCCCTCCACGCAAATGACCCTCAATCTCAATACCCACTCGGTGGGCTGATCATGTCCGGCTGGGGCACGGAACATGGTCGTCCTCGTGAAAGTGCCAGGCACATTATTGAGAACGGAGTCGTCGACGGACGGATTTTTTGGCCCTTGGAGGTGAAAGATGGCCCCATGTTTGGCGACCCCAAGCTGGGAAGGGCGCCTCCCGAGATCCTAGAGATGGGGTCCGATTTGAACACTTCCATGTCCCTCGGAGAGTTTGAGGACGGCACGTTCCATTGGGCGGACTACTGGGCGGATTATGCAAAGGAGGTGAAGGTGCCGATTATGTATGGGATGGGCGAGCACGATGCCTTATGGAAGGCCTCGAGGGTGACGGTGCAGGACTTTGCACGGCACTTTACAGGAAGTCCGAGGGTCGAGAGCGGAATCGTGCTGGGTGCGCCGCATTGTATCGAGCTGAGCTACTGGGGCCGCGGCTGGATGACGAGGTGCTTGGGGTTTGCACAGGAATGTGCAGCTGCCGAGGGAGTGAGTCGCCGACAAGCAGGAGTGAAAGTGTAGATGTCGTCGAGACTAGCTGGGGAGAGGGGGGAGGAGAGAAGAGGTTCCGTGAGGCTGGAAGATGATGGAGGAATGATGGATGGGTCAGCAATTAGAAATGTTTGGTTGGTCGGCGGAGTAAATATGTCGAATGAGAGGATATCAAGAACGCAGCTCTCCCTGTGTCTTGGATAGGCCGGGCTTGTATGGTCGTGGTAATATGTACGAGGTAGAGGGCATTATGTTCCTCGTGTGGTTGCACTGCTGACTGCATCCAAAATATGTGTGCAGCCTGACCGAGTTAGCGCACCTTGACTTTCAGCCTGGCAATCCGCCGCTTGGCTGGCCGTACCCGATACCTCACCAAAGTCAGCGCAAACATCACCACTTCCTCTTCCTCCTCCTTCTACATCACCTTGCCATAAAGTCTGACCACGATGGAAAATACAGAGGTCAGAAGAGGCGATTTCGTCTACAGGGACACTCTCTTTGTAGACTTGGGGCCCAATAAACGACATCCTCGCGCCTCGACAACAGACCTCAAGGACCTGCTTTTACCCAAACGCGGCTCTACGCCCAAGGACCAGGTCGCGCACTGGTACGAGGCGCAGCTGCTGCACTATGGACTCCCACGGTCTCGAGACAAGAACACGGCCAAAGTGCGACTGACCAATGCGCTCTCGGCCAAGACTCTGTCGGTGCCCAAGGAGATTGTACAGATGGAGGCGGAGTTGAAGAAGGAGTTTGCCAGTTCGCTGAGGAAAGCGAAGAGTGCAGCAGCAGCAGCATCAGCAAAGCCACCGCAGGCCAAGGTCTCTGAGAAAGTCCCCACAACTGCGAAAGGAAAGAAAGGCGCCGCCAGCTCAAAAACCACCATCGAGCTGGAAATCGATGACGTGAAGCTCAAGATTGACCGCGACACGCTCGAGGCGGCAAAGAAGTCGACCAAATCCAAGAAGACATCCAGCGCCTCCGCTGCCTCTGATGCATCTTCTGCCAAAAAGCCCAAAGGTGCCAAAACATCCTCTTCCACTCCCAAGCCTGCATCTGCGCCAAAATCTCCTGCCAAACCCAAGGCTACAGCCTCAGCCTCAGCTCCACGAAGTCGACAGACTGCGAGACGAAGCCAGCCTTTCCCTCGTAATACCAGCGCCCGACCCATCTCAAACCCTCCACAACACATCTATGACCACACCCCCGTCTCCTTCCACCATGACGTCGAAATGGATGACGCCCCACCGGCGTACGAGTCCCTGGGGTATGACGAGCCCGACGACTCTCCAAACAGCTCTGCCGGCATCCAAATATCAGGCACCTACCTAATCCACAAAAAACCATTTTATCCCTTTGATATCACGCTCCAAGTCGACCACAGACAACAAAAACTCTGGGGGCGCTTTAATATCGGTTCTAAATCCGGGGTTCTCCACGCCAGCGATATCTCCCACGTCACTCCTCACAACGCTGTCTCGTTCGGGTGGAGGTCGGAGGATGATGATGACGGCGACATGAAGTTTGGACGAGGTTGCGATGGATACCTGGAATTCGACGGAGACGAGTGGATGAAGGGGAGCTTCCGGGGCCTGATGGATGGACAAGACGTAGACTTTCAAGGACATTTGATAGAAGAAGACGGCCTGGATGTCACGGAAATGAAGGGTATCTGGGATGAGTTTCCACGAAAGGCATATGGCAGACCTTGAAGTCGTTTGGCCATGATCAATCAGTTGGCTTTGTGGTCTGGGAGTTATTGGTGAAGGAGGCTGAAAAATTGATCTAGCCTGAGGCGTGTAACTATGTAAATCATCAAGTTGGAGTTTTGCTTGCTGTCTGGAACGGTAACTGAAGACAAGGACCACATCTTAGGACAAGGACATTGTTTGGTAGCGTCGGGCGGTCGTTTCGTCATGCGCAATAGTCAATAATTAGTCGTGGTGGTCATTGCCTTTACAGGCTGATCCCCCAATTCCCACAAAGCCTCACATCCATCCTTTTCCATCTGTTTTCACCATTTTTTTTTACACCCAGACTAATCTTGCCATGCCACCGGACCAACTTAATTGTATGTTGGCTGGCATTAGCCACTGACGAAAATGGCTGTTTTGATGGTCCGATCAGCAGCCCCTATTGTCAGGGGCTTCATGCACATCACCTGCGCACAATCAAGCTTCGGGTCAAGATCGTCACCTCCGAGCCAGCCTTGTTGGCGCCACAAAAGAGGAGGATTCAGTGATGTACTGCAACATGTGTCCTGACTGTTCCTGAGATGAAAGAGTATGGAAAAGTGCAGCTCAAATTCCCTCAGCAATGGCTTCAAGAAGGTCCTCAATTCTCTCGACACGGTCTGCGAAACAGAGGAAGTTCTCAACAGATCGACACCAAAGGGGAGCCGAGCTTTCGATCCGCATTGAAGAAGGACGACCCTTGCGGCCACCACTGGTCAGGGAGGAAGACATCTCGACGTCGTTCGTGCAAGATTTCTTTTCCAAACCGCCTCAGTGCAAGAATGTCGCCGCCTCGTTAACTCAGGCCGACGCCTGCCCATGTCCTCTCGACGTCCACCCGGGTCAGCGCGTCAGGGGTTACTCGGACGACAACTTTGGCGAGCAGGAACACGACCTCGTTCAGGAGTCGGTAGAATTCAAAAACCCTTTCCCTGAGCCGGATCCGCAACAGCAACTCGAGATCGAGCAGCGCGCTGCCGTTTTCAGACGCGTCAACACCGACATCGATGCGGAAGAGGCACAGCTCCACATCACGCGCTCAGCATCTGACCTCGTCGCCCGCAGCGGCGCCAATCGCTCAATCGACCGCGTCAGACGGTGGTTCGGGATCAAGCCTGCAATCAAGCCTGGGGCGCATACCGGCCTCAAGCATGCTGCTGGTCTAGCGACGACTCATGCGACGGCGATCCTGTCCCAGAAGCCGGCTCCGCTGTTCAAGCGACGGGCTCTCTATGTGTTGGAATATGACATTGGTAAGTAAAGTATTGTTGCTCGAGATGGGCCATGGAATGGCATGGCCTACCGCGGACCTCTCTTCCACACCATTCGCTTTGTTCCGTTTGCGCTTCCCATGGTCTAACACTAGTGTCAAAGATGATCAGGGTGTCTTGCTCTGCGCACCTCCAAAACTGTTCGAAAGTGTGTCCCGTCTTCGAAAGTACCTGGAAGAGGACGAGCAACCCGATTCCCTGCTCCGTCTGGTCTATGTCTGCAACAACGAAGAAGCAGTCAACTATCTGAGCAATGCGTTCGGCATCAGCGGCTCCAGCGCCGAGACAGGCGAGCGCAGCTTTCGTGACTGGATGCAGGATGACCGCGATACGCGGCGGGCGTCACATAAGGCTATTCGATGGCGGCCGGCATTCGATATCGCTAGAGGCGTCATCTGCATGGCGTTCGGGCTGGATTTTGGGTCGTTGGTGGTGCCTCGTCAGGAGACTCCATCCTACCATCATCATCATCATCATCTACATCACCTCCATCACCATCATGATGAACATGATCATCCGTCGCAGCATGATCAACTGTTGCAACCCACCAAACCCTCTATCTACCGTCAGCGCATTTCAGTCTACATGCAGCGAGCCTCCTCGCAAGCCTTACCTGGACCACGAGTCACGCGATTCAATTCCGGCTCACGTCACCTGCACGACATGGCAAAGCGCGATACCATTGTTATTTGTGAATACTCGTCCGGCGAGGCCGGCGAGATTGTCAGTGCCAATGTGCTGCTAGGCCTGAACCCGGGCGCTTTCCCACCCTCTGCCTCTAGCGACCAAAAAGAGAGCACAGCTTCGGATGAAAGAAAGTGTGCCTCGACGCCGACCCTTCAAGCGGTGCTCTCACACATCTTCGACGGCCTGTACCAGCTCTGGCGCGACCAGATTGCGCTGATTCACGAACCCCACGCCTTGCTAGAGGACCATGTCTACGCCCACCCATCCGATTCGACCCGCGCCCGCGACGTCTGGGGCATGTCGCAGAGGCTGCATAACATGCTGAAGCTGGTAAATCGGCACTCCAAGGTCGTCGAGGCTGTGCAGGACGACTTTGCCGTTTTCGCCGAGTTGGAGAGGTATCAAGACGGAGGTGGAAACGAGGGGCGAGACAGGTCCAGCGGGCGTGATCGCAGCAGCGGTGGCGGCAGCAGTACTACCTGGTTGACGCCACTGCTGGACGACTTTGAGGTTCTGGCTGACAACATTGGAACGGATTACCTTGAGCCGCTGGAGCATATGATTGACCTGGTATGGACCCTCGTTCTCATTCATCACTCTTGCATCCACTTCTCCTGTTTCTTTTCATCGTTGCCATGAATTGCAATACACTGCCTGGCTTTGCGCTAGGATGGCGGATGTGAAAGAGGAAAAAGACATATTGACTAATTCTTTTGCACTGCTCTACTCTCGGCTCTCGCCGGGAATGGGGTGTGTGCCTTGCTTGTTAACAGATGTACAAGTCTGTCACAATCCGAGACTCGAAACAGTCGCTCGAGCTCAATGCCAGTCTGTGGCGGCTGAGTTGGATTACCTTCATCTTCCTGCCATTGACGTTCTTGGTCGGCGCGTTCGGTATGAATGTCGATGCTCTGAGCGAGTACCCGAGTTTGAAGTGGTATTTCATCGCTGCGGTCCCTTTGGTATGTGAATTGTCCCTCTCTCTTCCTTTCCTCCCTCAATTGGCAAACCAACCCAGATCATGTTATATATACCGAGTGAGGTTTTCTTCTTGTCGTTTCCCTCAATTCCTTCCCTTCGCGATCCTCACGCCCATTCGGCCCACAAGCCTCCACACTCGTCAATCTCCCCTACCAACCCCCTAACATATACCAAACATCCCGTATATGGCCCGCCCGGAGGCGCCAATCCCTCCTTAGCTCCGTTGATGTCCTCTTACTGACTACTAGGGGCAACGTCCTTGATAGATGGTGGCCGTCTTCTTTTTCTGGTTTGTCATGCGCCGGTTCGCGCCCGGTCGACACAGGTCTGGACTCATCGACGCCGCGGTCCTGGGGGCGGGTCTGGGCGTGCGCACGCTGTAGTGTGTACTTGGCAGGTTATTGGAAAAGTTTGGCTTGATAGGGGATGTCAGGACAGGTCAGGGCAGGACCACAGTCAGTTGGAGGTGGTCTCTCTATGTACTAATATACCCAACTATCTCGGTACGATTAATGGAGGTTCAGGGGGCACGGCGGGCACGGCAGGTTACAGGTCAGCGAGGCAGTCACGCGCGGACGCATCATGGTTGGATAGCACGGTCGACCCTCTTGTCGAACCCCTCTCTCCCTTTCATGCAAAGCGGCAAAACAGGGTAAACGATAGGAATGAATAATGGTGGGATGAAATAGAATGTTCGTCATAACATTGGAATAATTTCGTGATATTTTACAGATCCACGTTGGGAGTCTCTTTGAAGACTCTTTAGGGGCTGTCTCCGTGAGGCTGGCCAAGAAGGGCCAAGTTCATACACATGGCTTGTCGTACTAACAGATAAGACAGATAGACAAGCTGGCGGGCAGACAGACGGCTGACTGTGGACTCGAACAATCGGGCCGTGATCCTTCGAGATCGAGCGGATTTGGAAGTGTGTAGAGACCAATGCACACTGGTTTTTGCACTTGATGCTCTCTGTCTTGTATCCTCATCCCTCGTCCTTGTCCTCGTCCTCGTCGAACTTGAAGTTGGAGAGGCGATATTCTATGTACTGTGCTACAGTACATAGCTCGCTTGCCGTCAGAAAATCAGGGAGCCTTTCTGGATTGTATACTTGCTGGGAAACCAGAGCCAGAGCCAGAGCCAGAGCAATTGAGGGTTGGCAACTGCTCTGCTTAGGGGTGCGCGGACCTGGACGTATCCTTGTAGGTCGCCCAGTCTCCCCTGGACTCTCCAGTTCAACGCGATACCAGCAGAGTAGGGAGGATAATATCTCGCGACCGAGATCCACAGACCTGTTGTGACCTCGACATTTGCCGGAATGTAAGATCTCGCAGAGACGCTGCGGGCATAGCAAGATGAGCGAGAGGTTTTGCAATCATCTCGATTTTTGTGAGGAGATGATCTCCAGGAACGACATCACCTGTAAGTCAAGTGTTTGCAAGACTATTTCCGATCCCGTGGCGGGCAGCAAATTTGTCCAGTGTGACCTTGGTCTCATCCATAGCCGCTAATACAGGCAGCATGCTTGCCGTATTGTTCTGCATGCTGAGGAGATGGCTCCGCAATTGGTTGAGCAGCGAATTTAGTTCCGGGTCGTCGTCTGAGCCAGGGCTCAGTGTTGGAGGCGAACGGGTCTTTGGCTTCGACATGGCGGATGTCCTCTGATCCACGGGCAAGATTCCTGCAATGTTGTTGACGCGCTCGACCTCCTCCCGCAGCTCAGCTTCTCTGCCGCCCGCGTCCTCGTCTTCACTCCTGTGCAAGTTCTTCGCTATCGGGTGCAGGCCCCTGTCCTTCTTCCGCCTCAGCGCCTCGCTGCCTTTGAAGCCTTCCTCGAGCGCTTTCAATTGAGCGCGGTCCCTCTTCAGGGCGAGTTTCTCTCGGTTGATCTGCCGCCGGAGAAGCTGCGCAGATTGGAGGTTTGTCGTCAACTGGGACTGTAGGGTGGCAACGCGGGCAAGAGTCGCAGAAAGGTCAAACGGCGAATCATCGACTGTGGATGAATTTGTCTGTGGGAATGGCATTCGGGGTAGGCGGGTGAGT